CAGTCACTTCTTTGAAATTTTCCCAAGACCTTTCATATATAACAACGTCACAGACACTGCTAGGTTTGCTAAGGTCCTTCTCACAGTTAGCTTAAGTCCTGTACTTGGTCTTCTTTTCTGCATGTTGTCCAACTCATAGTTACTTTCATAGGTTATTTGTACCAGCCACAACCTGCCAAAAATAAGGATAAAATAAAGATATTGCAATCTCTAGCAATTTCATAATATTAAACTCGAAAATAAGGTAAACACAATTTCTAGGCTTTTCAAGAATGGCACAAATCTGGTTTTACTGACTGCATAAGCACTGGATCACATTGTCAACAACGCCAATATTAGGTCTTCTACTCCCTTCATCCATAGATGCAACAGCAAACTGTGCTAATTCACTGACTTTACTTGGTCAGGTAGATCTACTGGTGAATACATCTCACGCTCTCCTTCTTGCCCTTGAATGTTCCACATTTGTGCAATTCATTCCAGTCACTTCTTTGAAATTTTCCCAAGGCCTTTCATATATAACAACGTCACAGACACTGCTGGGTTTGCTAAGGTCCTTCTCACAGTTATTTAAGTCCAGTACTTGGTCTTCTTTCTTGCATGTTGTCCAACTCATAGTTACTTTCAAGTTCCAGTTTGCACCAGCTACAACCTGCCCAAAAATAAGGATAAAATAAAGATATTGCAATAGAGCAATTTCATATTAAACTCGAAAAATAAGGTACAACACAATTCTTTGGCTTTCTTTTGAAGAATGGCACAAATCTGGTTTTACTGACCTGCATTTCGGCACTGATCACATTGTCAACAACCCGGATATTAGGGTCTTCACTCCCTTCATCCATAGATGCAACAACAAACTGTGCTAATTCACTGACTTTACTATCAGGTAGATCTACTGGTGAATACATCCCTACGGCTCTCCTTCTTGCCCTTGAATGTTCCACATTTGTGCAATTCATTCCAGTCACTTCTTTGAAATTTTCCCAAGGCTTTTCATATATAACAACGTCACAGACACTGCTAGGTTTGCTAAGGTCCTTCTCACAGTTACTTAAGTCCTGTACTTTGTCTTCTTTCTTGCATGTTGTCCAACTCATAGTTACTTTCAGGTTCCAGTTTGTACCAGCTACAACCTGCCCAAAAATAAGGATAAAATAAAGATATTGCAATAGAGCAATTTCATAATATTAATCTCGAAAAATAAGGTACAACACAATTCTTAGGCTTTCTTTTGAAGAATGGCACAAATCTGGTTTTACTGACCTGCATTTCGGCACTGATCACATTGTCAACAACGCGAATATTAGGGTCTTCACTCCCATCATCCATAGACGTAACAGCAAACTGTGCTAATTCACTGACTTTACTATCAGGTAGATCTACTGGTGAATACATCCCTACGGCTCTCCTTCTTGCCCTTGAATGTTCCACATTTGTGCAATTCATTCCAGTCACTTCTTTGAAATTTTCCCAAGGCCTTTCATATATAACAACGTCACAAACACTGCTAGGTTTGCTAAGGTCCTTCTCACAGTTATTTAAGTCCTGTACTTGGTCTTCTTTCTTGCATGTTGTCCAACTCATAGTTACTTTCAGGTTCCAGTTTGCACCAGCTACAACCTGCCCAAAAATAAGGATAAAATAAAGATATTGCAATAGAGCAATTTCATATTAAACTCGAAAAATAAGGTACAACACAATTCTTAGGCTTTCTTTTGAAGAATGGCACAAATCTGGTTTTACTGACCTGCATTTCGGCACTGATCACATTGTCAACAACGCGAATATTAGGGTCTTCGCTCCCTTCATCCATAGATGCAACAACAAACTGTGCTAATTCACTGACTTTACTATTAGGTAGATCTACTGGTGAATACATCCCTACGGCTCTCCTTCTTGCCCTTGAATCTTCTACATTTCTGCAAATCATTTCAGTCACTTCTTTGAAATTTTGCCAAGACCTCTCATTTATAAAAACATCACAGATACTGCTGGGTTTGCTAAGGTCCTTCTGACAGATATTTAAGTCCTGTACTTGGTCTTCCTTCTTGCATGTTGTCCAACTCATAGTTACTTTCAGGTTCCAGTTTGTACCAGCTACAACCTGCCCAAAAATAAGGATAAAATAAAGATATTGCAATAGAGCAATTTCATAATATTAAACTCGAAAAATAAGGTAAAACACAATTCTTAGGCTTTCTTTCAAGAATGGCACAAATCTGGTTTTACTGACCTGCATTTCGGCACTGATCACATTGTCAACAACGCGAATATTAGGGTCTTCACTCCCTTCATCCATAGATGCAACAGCAAACTGTGCTAATTCACTGACTTTACTATCAGGTAGATCTACTGGTGAATACATCCCTACGGCTCTCCTTCTTGCCCTTGAATCTTCCACATTTGTGCAATTCATTCCAGTCACTTCTTTGAAATTTTCCCAAGACCTTTCATATATAACAACGTCACAGATACTGCTGGGTTTGCTAAGGTCCTTCTCACAGTTATTTAAGTCCTGTACTTGGTCTTCTTTCTTGCATGTTGTCCAACTCATAGTTACTTTCAGGTTCCAGTTTACACCAGCTACAACCTGCCCAAAAATAAGGATAAAATAAAGATATTGCAATAGAGCAATTTCATAATATTAATCTCGAAAAATAAGGTACAACACAATTCTTAGGCTTTCTTTTGAAGAATGGCACAAATCTGGTTTTACTGACCTGCATTTCGGCACTGATCACATTGTCAACAACCCGGATATTAGGGTCTTCACTCCCTTCATCCATAGATGCAACAGCAAACTGTGCTAATTCAATGACTTTACTATCAGGTAGATCTACTGGTGAATTCATCCCTACGGCTCTCCTTCTTGCCCTTGAATGTTCCACATTTGTGCAATTCATTCCAGTCACTTCTTTGAAATTTTCCCAAGGCTTTTCATATATAACAACGTCACAGACACTGCTAGGTTTGCTAAGGTCCTTCTCACAGTTACTTAAGTCCTGTACTTGGTCTTCTTTCTTGCATGTTGTCCAACTCATAGTTACTTTCAGGTTCCAGTTTGTACCAGCTACAATCTGCCCAAAAATAAGGATAAAATAGAGATATTGCAATAGAGCAATTTCATAATATTAATCTCGAAAAATAAGGTACAACACAATTCTTAGGCTTTCTTTTGAAGAATGGCACAAATCTGGTTTTACTGACCTGCATTTCGGCACTGATCACATTGTCAACAACGCGAATATTAGGGTCTTCACTCCCATCATCCATAGATGTAACAGCAAACTGTGCTAATTCACTGACTTTACTATCAGGTAGATCTACTGGTGAATACATCCCTACGGCTCTCCTTCTTGCCCTTGAATGTTCCACATTTGTGCAATTCATTCCAGTCACTTCTTTGAAATTTTCCCAAGGCCTTTCATATATAACAACGTCACAGACACTGCTAGGTTTGCTAAGGTCCTTCTCACAGTTATTTAAGTCCTGTACTTGGTCTTCTTTCTTGCATGTTGTCCAACTCATAGTTACTTTCAGGTTCCAGTTTGCACCAGCTACAACCTGCCCAAAAATAAGGATAAAATAAAGATATTGCAATAGAGCAATTTCATATTAAACTCGAAAAATAAGGTACAACACAATTCTTAGGCTTTCTTTTGAAGAATGGCACAAATCTGGTTTTACTGACCTGCATTTCGGCACTGATCACATTGTCAACAACGCGAATATTAGGGTCTTCGCTCCCTTCATCCATAGATGCAACAACAAACTGTGCTAATTCACTGACTTTACTATCAGGTAGATCTACTGGTGAATACATCCCTACGGCTCTCCTTCTTGCCCTTGAATCTTCCACATTTGTGCAATTCATTCCAGTCACTTCTTTGAAATTTTCCCAAGACCTTTCATATATAACAACGTCACAGATACTGCTGGGTTTGCTAAGGTCCTTCTCACAGTTATTTAAGTCCTGTACTTGGTCTTCTTTCTTGCATGTTGTCCAACTCATAGTTACTTTCAGGTTCCAGTTTACACCAGCTACAACCTGCCCAAAAATAAGGATAAAATAAAGATATTGCAATAGAGCAATTTCATAATATTAATCTCGAAAAATAAGGTACAACACAATTCTTAGGCTTTCTTTTGAAGAATGGCACAAATCTGGTTTTACTGACCTGCATTTCGGCACTGATCACATTGTCAACAACCCGGATATTAGGGTCTTCACTCCCTTCATCCATAGATGCAACAGCAAACTGTGCTAATTCAATGACTTTACTATCAGGTAGATCTACTGGTGAATACATCCCGACGGCTCTCCTTCTTGCCCTTGAATGTTCCACATTTGTGCAATTCATTCCAGTCACTTCTTTGAAATTTTCCCAAGGCTTTTCATATATAACAACGTCACAGACACTGCTAGGTTTGCTAAGGTCCTTCTCACAGTTACTTAAGTCCTGTACTTGGTCTTCTTTCTTGCATGTTGTCCAACTCATAGTTACTTTCAGGTTCCAGTTTGTACCAGCTACAATCTGCCCAAAAATAAGGATAAAATAGAGATATTGCAATAGAGCAATTTCATAATATTAATCTCGAAAAATAAGGTACAACACAATTCTTAGGCTTTCTTTTGAAGAATGGCACAAATCTGGTTTTACTGACCTGCATTTCGGCACTGATCACATTGTCAACAACGCGAATATTAGGGTCTTCATCCATATGTAACAGCAAACTGTGCTAATTCACTGACTTTACTATCAGGTAGATCTACTGGTGAATACATCCCTACGGCTCTCCTTCTTGCCCTTGAATGTTCCACATTTGTGCAATTCATTCCAGTCACTTCTTTGAAATTTTCCCAAGGCCTTTCATATATAACAACGTCACAGACACTGCTAGGTTTGCTAAGGTCCTTCTCACAGTTATTTAAGTCCTGTACTTGGTCTTCTTTCTTGCATGTTGTCCAACTCATAGTTACTTTCAGGTTCCAGTTTGCACCAGCTACAACCTGCCCAAAAATAAGGATAAAATAAAGATATTGCAATAGAGCAATTTCATATTAAACTCGAAAAATAAGGTACAACACAATTCTTAGGCTTTCTTTTGAAGAATGGCACAAATCTGGTTTTACTGACCTGCATTTCGGCACTGATCACATTGTCAACAACGCGAATATTAGGGTCTTCGCTCCCTTCATCCATAGATGCAACAACAAACTGTGCTAATTCACTGACTTTACTATCAGGTAGATCTACTGGTGAATACATCCCTACGGCTCTCCTTCTTGCCCTTGAATCTTCCACATTTGTGCAATTCATTCCAGTCACTTCTTTGAAATTTTCCCAAGGCTTTTCATATATAACAACGTCACAGACACTGCTAGGTTTGCTAAGGTCCTTCTCACAGTTATTTAAGTCCTGTACTTGGTCGTCTTTCTTGCATGTTGTCCAACTCATAGTTACTTTCAGGTTCCAGTTTGCACCAGCTACAACCTGCCCAAAAATAAGGATAAAATAAAGATATTGCAATAGAGCAATTTCATATTAAACTCGAAAAATAAGGTACAACACAATTCTTAGGCTTTCTTTTGAAGAATGGCACAAATCTGGTTTTACTGACCTGCATTTCGGCACTGATCACATTGTCAACAACGCGAATATTAGGGTCTTCGCTCCCTTCATCCATAGATGCAACAACAAACTGTGCTAATTCACTGACTTTACTATCAGGTAGATCTACTGGTGAATACATCCCTACGGCTCTCCTTCTTGCCCTTGAATCTTCCACATTTGTGCAATTCATTCCAGTCACTTCTTTGAAATTTTCCCAAGGCCTTTCATATATAACAACGTCACAGACACTGCTAGGTTTGCTAAGGTCCTTCTCACAGTTATTTAAGTCCTGTACTTGGTCTTCTTTCTTGCATGTTGTCCAACTCATAGTTACTTTCAGGTTCCAATTTACACCAGATACAACCTGCCCAAAAATAAGGATAAAATAAAGATATTGCAATAGAGCAATTTCATAATATTAATCTGGAAAAATAAGGTACAACACAATTCTTAGGCTTTTTTTGAAGAATGGCACAAATCTGGTTTTACTGACCTGCATTTCGGCACTGATCACATTGTCAACAACGCGAATATTAGGGTCTTCGCTCCCTTCATCCATAGATGCAACAACAAACTGTGCTAATTCACTGACTTTACTATCAGGTAGATCTACTGGTGAATACATCCCTACGGCTCTCCTTCTTGCCCTTGAATCTTCCACATTTGTGCAATTCATTCCAGTCACTTCTTTGAAATTTTCCCAAGGCCTTTCATATATAACAACGTCACAGACACTGCTAGGTTTGCTAAGGTCCTTCTCACAGTTACTTAAGTCCTGTACTTGGTCTTCTTTCTTGCATGTTGTCCAACTCATAGTTACTTTCAGGTTCCAGTTTGCACCAGCTACAACCTGCCCAAAAATAAGGATAAAATAAAGATATTGCAATAGAGCAATTTCATATTAAACTCGAAAAATAAGGTACAACACAATTCTTAGGCTTTCTTTTGAAGAATGGCACAAATCTGGTTTTACTGACCTGCATTTCGGCACTGATCACATTGTCAACAACGCGAATATTAGGGTCTTCGCTCCCTTCATCCATAGATGCAACAACAAACTGTGCTAATTCACTGACTTTACTATCAGGTAGATCTACTGGTGAATACATCCCTACGGCTCTCCTTCTTGCCCTTGAATCTTCCACATTTGTGCAATTCATTCCAGTCACTTCTTTGAAATTTTCCCAAGGCCTTTCATATATAACAACGTCACAGACACTGCTAGGTTTGCTAAGGTCCTTCTCACAGTTATTTAAGTCCTGTACTTGGTCTTCTTTCTTGCATGTTGTCCAACTCATAGTTACTTTCAGGTTCCAGTTTACACCAGCTACAACCTGCCCAAAAATAAGGATAAAATAAAGATATTGCAATAGAGCAATTTCATAATATTAATCTCGAAATATAAGGTACAACACAATTCTTAGGCTTTCTTTTGAAGAATGGCACAAATCTGGTTTTACTGACCTGCATTTCGGCACTGATCACATTGTCAACAACCCGGATATTAGGGTCTTCACTCCCTTCATCCATAGATGCAACAGCAAACTGTGCTAATTCACTGACTTTACTATCAGGTAGATCTACTGGTGAATACTTCCCTACGGCTCTCCTTCTTGCCCTTGAATCTTCCACATTTGTGCAATTCATTCCAGTCACTTCTTTGAAATTTTCCCAAGACCTTTCATATATAACAACGTCACAGACACTGCTGGGTTTGCTAAGGTCCTTCTCACAGTTATTTAAGTCCTGTACTTCGTCTTCTTTCTTGCATGTTGTCCAACTCAAAGTTACTTTCAGCTTCCAGTTTGTACCTGCTACAACCTGACCAAAAATAATAATATAAAAATGTTGCAGTAGAGAAATTTCAAAATATTGAAACACAATATTAAACATGAAAAATAGGGTACAAAAAATTTTTACGCTTTCTTTCAAGAATGGCACAAATCTAGTTTTACTGACCTGCATTTCAGCACTGATCACATTGTCAACAACCCGGATATTAGGGTCTTCACTCCCTTCATCCATAGACACAACAGCAAACTGTGCTAATTCATTAACCTTGTTCTCTGGGAGTTCTACTGGTGAATATCCTCCCAAGGTCAATCTCTTTGTCCTGAAACTGTAAGGGTTTAACAATTATCATTGCAATGCTTTATGTCTGTTCAATATAGTATGAGATGATCAGCTTACGTTTTGAATACAGATAATAATGTTGTTTGTTATTATCATTATTATTTATATATTTTGTTTAGAATACTCTTTTATTTCTTTCATAGGTCATCTGACATATTCCTCTTTTTTGTGGAAATTTACAATGATCATTTGCTTATTAGGTGAACTGTCTTGAACATAGGCTTGTATTGTACACTATGAATGATATGAAATATTTGTTTAGTTGTGTGAAAAGAGATGGTGTATTGATTCTCCCCTGAATGCTGTAAGAGGGAAAGAATTTCCATAGTTGGAAAATACTGTATAGTACAGTACTGTAAATGAATGATAACGAGGTTTGAGTGGAAGGAAAATTTTCACTGAGTTTGGATGACATTAGGGAATGATATGTCTTCGACTTGAGATGAAAATATTGGTATCATTGATCGTCTTATAGTGGATTACTGACCATGAAGAAAACAGATCGTCGTTCTGGGGGGAAGGAGGGAGGAAGTGAGGGAACTGGTCTTTGATAAGGAGGAATAGCTTTAGATTGAATTTTGTCTAACAATAATAAGTAAGAATGTAGAGCACCACCTCTGATGTGAAAGTAAGACTCTTCAGTTAATGAAAATATGGCTGTTGTAAAAAGTTAAAAGTCGTGAAGAAGTAAAATATGGACGAGCGCTAAAGAGGAAGCCTAGTGCTGTTGATGTATTAATTGGAGTGTCGGATTTTTTTTTTTTATCCTCTTCACCACTGATCGGCTCGTTAGCCGCTTGGGCGATCGGTCATGTCTTTGTTACGCAATGTTGGCAAGTACTAGGCATGCACTGGCTCCTGAATGTATCTGAACCTGCTCCAGTGCTTGTCAAGTCTAGTCTTGAAAGAGCTCACACTCGGTGCCGTCACAATACTCTCTGGCAGATTGTTCCACGAGTTCACAATTCTCACTCCGAAAAAGTTACCCCTCACAGTTTTCTGGACTTGCGGCTTCTTCAATCTTGAGCTGTGACCCCTTGTGGGGCGAGCATCCGCCAGCTCCATGTAAGGACACTCGACTGAGTAGTGCCCCCTGAGATGCTTATACACCTCAACTAGGTCACCCCTTGCCCGTCTGTAATATAAGCTAGGCAAGTTCAGGCGCTCCAATCTCTCAGGGTAGCTGAGGTGCCGAAGTGCAGGCACCAGTCTGGTGGCCCTCCTTTGAACATTTTCAACCAACTAACAGTCCCTAGCATATCTCGGGGACCAGACGGGGTGACAGTACTCCAGATGGGGAAGCACTTCACTCTTGAAGATCGTTACGAGGGACGGACCGTCTAGATATCTGAACGACCTTCTTATAAGACCCAATAATTTATTTGCCTGGTTTACCTTCTTCTCGCAATGGCCCGAGAACTTCAGCTCATTGTCAACATACACACCTAGGTCCTTCTCACATTCAGTCTCAACTAGTGCAGTTTCTTCATCCCGTTGGGACACATGATACGCCTCCTTACCGTTGGTACGCCCCAGGTGCATCCTCTTACACTTCGTGACATTGAATCTCAGCAGCCATTCCTTCAACCATTCCTGGAGCCCACAGAGGTCCTTCTGCAGCTCTTCACAGTCAGCTGGGTTCTTAATTTCCCGAAATAACTTAGCGTCATCGGCAAACATTTGTATGGAGGAGTGTACAACGTCAGGCATGTCATTTATGAAACAAACAAACAACAGCGGGCCCAATACACTGCCCTGTGGTACCCCACTTGTAACAGGTACGGATGGCGATTTCGTGCTATTAATCACCGCACACTGTTTGCGGTCATGTAGAAAGTCTTCTATCCACGCTAGGACATTTCCCCGAATTCCGTACCCTTCCAGTTTGATTTTCAGCCTTTCTTGGGGTACACTGTCGAAAGCCTTGGCAAAATCTAGGTAAATATTGTCGATATTACCACCCCG